ATCCATACATATTATATTCATACATCTATCTATCTATCTATCTATCTATCTATCTATTTATACACACACGCACATACATATGTATGCGTACTATGTATCTAATAAGTTTGGCTTCTTCAAAGACATTGGACTGGATACACCATGCATTCATTGCCCCAAAGAAGGAGTATAAATTTAATTAGAGTTAAGTGAGTGTTAGAATTCTGATAATAATAAAATTGGGTGAAATTTGAAATCAACGTTGTTGAGAATGATAAAGTTTATGTATGTTTTTGCAAATGGATTAGAACTTCAAATGAACAGGCCAGTAACATAAACAATGTAACAGCATAAGGAAATTAAAATCACAACCCACTAATTTTATGTGAAAGGAGATGGCAATATTCGGTACTATATACATAGGATCCTCCAGCTTTCTATTTCCTTAAGTGAAAATAATCATGCTAGTAAACAATTTTTACTAAAACTTAGGTATTGAAATATACTAAAGGTGGCAGTGTTGCTTCATATTAAGCAGAAGCTAAGCTTCCTAAAACTTTATAACAAAAATATACTAGGTTGTATATACTATATTTCAGGCCTTATTTTGTATTATCATAGACGTGAATTTTTTGAAAAATGAGTACTTCTCATAGAATCAAATGAGTAAGTAGGACAACATTTCCATTGACTTCAAGATGAATACAAAATTCTAAACTAGCTGACCAATATACTAATTTTAAAAAATGAATCAATTTCTTAATATACTTTATATTTTAAAGTATGCTAAGTTAATAATTTGTGGACTTTAGTAACTGGATTTTTCTAAAATATATCATACATTTAAAATTAGAGAATGTAGGTTTTGAGTTGTAATATAACTGTATTATAGCAGGTGACATGTTTTGATTTCATTTTAAAAATCTACACTTATAAACATGGTATGCAAGACTGATTATTTTAAATTGAAAAGCTGCTTGACTTTCAAAAAGATTGCATAGCATATTCTTTCAAATAGAAAACTTTCCTGATGCTTTTTAAATATAATTCAATTCTGAATTTCTTTGCTTGCTGCATTCCAGCAACAAATGCATTATGTAATGCAAGATATAATTTAATTTTAGAAGCTGCTCATCCACACATAAAATTGTCAAATATAATGTCAAAAAAAGAGCACATATAATTATTTCTGAAGACTTATTTTCTGGTCGGAATACATAATAATAATAGCATTTTTTATTCTACTTGATTCTAGGAATTTTATATGTATTATTGAGAATCTTCACAACCACCTTAAAAGATATGAGCTAAGAGTCTAATTTTACAGGCAATAAATAGCCCAGGTTTGGATAATTGAACCCAGAATAGTTTAGTCACTATGCTTTATTTCCTCATTTAATAACAACCTCTGTTTAAAAAAGTTAATTCCCATTATTAACTGTGTACTATTACCCAGCTCTGTGTTTTTATATTATTTTACTTCACTAATTTCACTACTGTGTTAATTTCAAATACTTCTATCTTTTCTTTGATTTTCTTCTAGAATGTTAGCATTTATCCATTAGTATAAGAAAAAAAAACCATAATGAACACAAAATCTGATGCTCACTAAAGTAATATAGAGAGCTCTCTACATGAAGACATTTGGCAGGGATGTACTGTTGAATGCTAAAGATCTGAACCCAGTGCTACTGCCTATTATTACTTTTTCTCATTCAAAAACCCTTGCTGAATTTCTATTCAACATCTTAACTATGCCAGCAGCTAGCTGTGTGAGGGAGGGCAAGTTAGTTAAACCACCCATGCCTCAGTTTCCTCATCTGTCGAATGTCCATCATAATAGCATCTATCTTGTAAATTTATTGTGAGGACTAATTGAGTTGATATCTATAAAGCCCTTGAAGAACATTTGACAAAGTCAGCAGCTCCAACAAGTGCCATCACTGCTTCTATGGTGATAGTACTAATTAGAAAGTCTCTGTAATAAACTAGATTCTGGGTTTTAGAGTAAGTCAGACTTAGGTGAGAACCCTTGCTTGGCTCCTTCCATGCTGTATAAACTTGGGCTAATGATTTACAGCATCTAAGCCACATTTCTTCATCTGTAACAACTAGCTCCCAGAACATTCGTGAACACTGAGAGTAATGCACAAAAAGTACTAAGTAGAATAACAGGCACACAATAGTGCAGCAAATAATAATAATAATTTCTGTGTTTCTGCAAAGTGCTTTTTTTCTTACAAACTTAAGAATGTATGTGCTCAGGGCTGGGAGGTGGCATAGTGCTTGAGGTGTTGGACTCCCACATGGCTGAATATGGTTCACATCCTGGACCTGTTGGCTTGGTTCTCACTTCTCTCTCTTTTTCTGGTCAAATTAAAATAAATGAATAAATACATAAAATTAAATTATTTTTTTAAAAGAGAGTATGTGCTCATTTAAAACTTGTGATTATACATTGTAATTTAAATAAATAAATAAATTTATTTGCCAGAGAGGGCTCATGTACACACATGAGAGAGAGAAAAAGAGAGAGAGAGAGAGAGAACACCCCCTAACAAGATCCAGTCATGCTGCAATCCTCTTGTTCTCCATTTTTTTTTCACCCTGTCAGGATCCTGGGCACGTTTGCACACAAGTTAGTACACTTCTCAAGGCTGAGGGCTGGATTCACACTGCAGTTGGCCGTGTGGCATCTGGCTCCTACACAGGGTAAAACTGCTGTGCTATGCAGCCAGCCCTAAATTTATTTTTAGATATCAAAAATATAAAGGAGAAAGTGAAATTACTAATAATTCTGACACTCAGAAATAACTACTGTAATGTTTCGGTATATGCACTTTCATTTTTCTCTGTGTATATTCCCTTCCCTTTTATTTGAATACCCACTTGCTTTTTTTCTGAAAAGTAATGGCAATTTAGGGTTGTCAATGCCTAATGCTATGAAGTCCTAATATTAATGATACCAAGTTCTGTGAAGTAAGCCAGAAAAAAAGTCAGCATTTCTGAATCTTTCTTCTCCATCATTCCTGACATAGGAAGTGAAGCAAAAAGGTCTTGAATACGGAAAGAAGTGCTTAGAGACCCCTGGCTGTAGGAAGGAATCAGCCCCCTATTTGGCCACAGCAGTGAGCCTAGTGAGTGGCGTTATGAGTCGTGAGTCCAAAACAGACTTCTGGGCATCTCCTGAGACACACACCTTCCTAGTATCACACCCTCTCTGGTGTCAAAGCACAGCTCTGTTTTTTCATGCTTGGTACTTTTCAAAACTTAGTTTAACAATTTAATTCCCATCCTCACCCCCCATTGCAAAGTCCAATTTCATCTTTTTCTAAATAGCCCAGATTTACATAGTTTTATGTAATGCATCCAACATTACATGCACTGGAACTGAATTTCTAATTATTGAAGAAAATATAAACAGAAATTTAAATACATAAATTTGATAAAATCGAAAGACATTTCAAGATATTTTCTCTTGTGCCTTTTTAGATATCAGAAGCTTACTTTAGAGAGTTGGAAAGAAAGCATTTCCATTCACTTTTCCCATAGCATTGTACTGTATGGTGCTATTTTCCCTGAAAACCTTTAAATGTTTTCACAAATTTTTTTCTTCATTACTGCACATCCTCTTAAGTTTCACTTGAACATTAACAGACAGATCTTTCCTCTGTGTCTGAATTTAGTAAGATAGTTCTGTAACCTTCTTTTTTATGACATATTATATGAGATTACTTATTTCCAGTCGTATGAATTTGGGTTCCCATTCATAATTGCTACAAATAACAATTACTTTGAGCTCATTGAGACAGGCATAACAGAATATTATAACAGAGAAATAAGAAGTATAAAGAAGCAATAAACAACTTGTAAAAGGGCCCACATGAAAGGAAAAACTGAGGTTTGACGTTCTCTGATCCACTAAAGCTCTAGTCCTCACAGAAATGTAATGGGAAATTTATTAGTACCGTGAATTGTCCTTAAAGAACAAAAAAAAAAAGAGAGAGAGAGAGAGAATAGCTGAACACATAAGCACACACACGAAACTGTTTCTCTACTATTCTGACTTGATTCTATGATTGTATTTTATCCGCACATAGATCCTTAGCATAAAATATTTAATTCCATTGGTATTAAACACGTAACTACATCTCTGCTTTGTAAGAAGGTACACAAACTACCATGTGATTTGCACCATCCATTATTTCAAGAAGATTTAAACTGATTTATAGGTTTTTTAAGAAAGGAGATCTACATCTAGTAACAGCCGAAAGGAAAGGAATAAAGAAAGAGAACATGGTAACATGGAAAGCGGGGGTTGGCAGGTGGTGTGGTGGTTGAGGTGTTAAGGGAGGCTTCATAGCTGAATACCCAGAGAAAAGGGCCAGCACTGGCTCAGGGACCAGAGACCAGAGCAGTGACAACTGAAGCCATCTTCCTGTGCAACCATGAGAGGGAAACAAGCACATCAGCTTGAGATGGAGCCTGCAGGGAGTTCAGCTTCCATATTGACTCTTTTTATGAAATAATTGTGTTCTCTTCTAGTGGAAAGAAGGCTTGTATGTTTGGTATTTCAGATATTCCCAGTAGGGCACTGACTGTGGGAGGAGGGGTTGAGGTAGAATGAAGAAACGTTTTAGCCAAATTCACAGTACCTGACTTTACCTGGGGAATTTCTTGAAAGGTTTTTTTTGTGTCTATCTGCAATGAGCAGTAGCACAGCCCCTTGTTCAAAAAATGAATTCTGAGCATTCGAGTACTGGAAGGTATTCGTATAATGCGTACAGACGGCAAACAGATGGTGACTATGTGGCTTGGAGGCTACCACTTCCTCTTCCTGTGTCTGTTTAGGCATTGATAAAAGACCTCAGCACTTTCTCGCTGAGCTTGGACACAGCCTCAGCATCTCGTCAACAGCAGGCCAGGAAGCCATTAGGATTTAAATATACCTGCTGTTACTGGCATATTATGCTCATCATTCACTCAGTGAACATTTACTAGCATTGTCTATCTGGTTCCAGGGATACAAAGATGAGGGTGAGGAAGACGCAGACTCTGGCCCAGAAAGAGGAGAGCAGCAGAGTGGGCTGGCAGGTAAGTGTGAAGTGTTGTTCTGGAAGTCCACTCAATACATTCAAATGGAAAAGGACACATTTAGTACCATATACATAGCATGTATTTTTTCTTTTTATTTGTGAAGAGTGGTTACACATGAGAGAGGGATATATACAGACATGCACACCATTCACAGGGTCTAATCCCCTTTGTCTAGTCCTCTAGCCTGTCAGGTCTTGAGCACTTACACATGTGCCTGGAGTGTTTCACACAAACCGGACTGGGGATTTGAACCATTGTCATGATGTGGGATCTAGCTTCTCTTGAGTAGCACTTTACCACTTCATTAGAGAGCTGGCCCTGTCATATACTTTTATATGTATATGTATGTATGTATATATATTTATATGTTTCTATATATATACACACATACACACATATGAACTGTATGGACTACACCAGAATCTGTCCCTTTTAGTGAAAGTTAAGCCTAGTAATAGTAGCTTTCTCTTAAACAAACTTCTGCATAAAGAAACCTCTATTTAATCTTTCTCATCACCTCCATGTAGATAATAAAAGCAGGCAAAGGCCTGAACAGAGCTTCTGACAATTAGTGAGCGAGGATACCAATAATGAGCAGCTTATTTGTGTCCTTTCATCCGTTCACTAGGAGTGTTTGTGCAGAATCTAACTCGGCATAATAGAAGGGCTCAAATAGCCAAGAGTGGACAAAACTGCTATCCTCCCGTATTCTAGTCCAGGAGTAAAAACAACAAATAAGAGAAATGCACTGTGCATTCCATGATGATAAAAACCAAGAATTTGGGGGACCAGCAGATGCATAATGGTGATGGTTCTGGACTCTCACGTAGTCGACCAAATTCAACCTTGGACCCAGCACCTTAAAAAGCTAACACTGGGTGCATGTGCGTGTGTGCCTAAAATTGCAAAAGAAGAATAAACAAGAAGAGATTGTGTGGTGGCCATCCCTCCAGGGGATAATTTCTTGCTTTCTGTCTCTCTGAAGAGTGCACATGCCCTATAACAAAAATCTCTCTAAAAAAAAAAGAAAGAAAGAAAGAAAAAGAAACCTAAGAGCTTTTGTCTTATCATATGTATGGCACATGTACTTTAAAAATTCTGGACGATAACAGAGTAGGCTTTGCTAGTGGCTACTGTAAGATATTTGGATTAAAAGTTATAGGACCCAGGAAGGAATTTGTTTTTTATATTATGATCTTTTGTATCATATGGCTTTATTTTATTTTTAAAAAGCATACATATATTATTTTTGTGATTAGGTAATTTGGCTTAAATTTTAAAAAGAACATAAATAGAAAAGGCACATGCCTTTAGATTCAATCATCATATTGCATAATATGATATACAGTTTAAAGGTAGATGTTGTTCGTGATTTACCTTTGATGCTCTTCATCGAAAGCATCAGGCTATTGCTTCCTGCTCATGGCTATTGAATATAGTTTTTATTTTGGAAGAAAAAAAAAAAACAGTCCCATAGTTGAGAGGTTAGGGGAGCCAGATCCCACAGGTCTAACCACAACTCGAATACTGGCCCCAGTGGCTTACAAAACACACCACACAAGTGTGTGTGTGCGCCCCAAATCCCAGAAAGATGGAGAAATAGAGAAGAAAGGATTATGGCATTGCCATGTCCCATTAGGAGTGCTTCCCCCATCTCTCTGTCTCTCTCTACTGAACACAAACCCTCTGGCAATTGAAAAAAGAAAAGAGAAAAGAGAAAAAGGAAAAAAGAAACCATGGTACTCTTTCATTAAGAGAGTCACCTTCTGAAATTGAAAAATTTGATAAATATTTTAAGAGTTTATCTTTAGTTTCTTACTTAACAATTATGGGTAAATATAATATATAAGTAGAAAAATTTCCTGTACATTTCTTGCAATGTCCACCAGTATAATCAATGGATAGGTTTTACTAACTAGACAAAATGTTTTAAAAAATGAGATCTAAATAATCATATATTTTTGTTTCTCATAAATTAAGCAATAAAAATGTTGAATCATGGGGAATAGCAGATGGTGGAATAGTTACGTCTCTGGACTTCCATGTAGTTGACTACAGTTCAAGTCCTGGACACAATGACTTAAAACTCTGACTGGATACATGTGAGTGTGTGCTCAAAACCCCAAGAGGAGAATGAAGAAAGGGATTACAACATGGCCATTTCCCCAAGGGATGATTTCTCACCCTATAGCGAAAAAACTCTCAAAAAAAAAAAAAAAAAAAAGTTGAATCATGGTCCAGGAAGTAGCATAGTGATTAAGATACTGAAATACTGCATGTGTGACTGGGCTTTGAGTCTCAGACCTGGCAGCTTGAAATCATGCCTGCTTGTGTGTGTGTGTGCCAAAAATCCTGAGAGGAGAATGGAGGAGAAGGGATTGTGGCATGGCCATCCCACTTGAGGGTGGATTTCTCAATTTCCCTTTCTCTTTCTCTCTGCAGCTAGTGCATGCATCCTGTGGCAAAAACCCTAAAAAAAAAAAAAAAAAAGTTGAAGCATATAATGAATTAATACAATAGGAAATGTCACAGAAAATACAATAAAAATGGTAAAGTTTTAATAATTACATGATGAATTTATTATGAAGTCTTTGTATAAAATGCAAAGTATATGTATTCACATTTAGACTGACATACCTTTGTTATCATTTTTCTCTAATTCTTTTAGTGCTTGAACAAATGTCAGCTGACTTTCAGTGAGAGGCCAACTGTTATACAACACCAAACACTGTATAATATACTTGTTACCCTGTGAAATAAAATGCAGTATTTAAGCATAATCAATAAGAATAAACATAGGGAGTGACTAATATAATTTAATATGCTACACCATGATAAATGCAGAATGATTTGAATCTTATCATATTTCATATTTCATTAAATGTCAAATGGTCTACAAAATTTTGTAACACTATAGTTTACAAAAATTTAACATCCTCTCATCCTCACCAACACATGTCATTTTCCAATTGTCTAATTTTTGCCAGGAAAATGAGTATAAAGGGTCAGTTATCTCACTGTTATCATATTTTGCATTTCTTAGATTACTAGAAGAATGAGTATATTTTGCAAGCAGGTGTCTATTGGTTTTCCTCTCCTTTGTGTTCAGAGCACAAAAGTGGTCCTCCAACATCATGTATTACTGCTTTTATGGCTTAAAATTCTACAGTGAAATCTGCTCTACGTCCAGAATCCATCTTTATTTATGGTGTCAGCTGGTGGTCCAGTTTTATTTCTCTCCACAGAGAAGTAATTTTCCCAGCATCATCCCTTCTACTGTTCTCCTTTCCTCCATTGATTTATGGTGCTGCATCTCTTTTATATTAAATAGAAATATCAACGTGGGTCTGTCTCTATTTTATTTTCTCCTGTTACTTTATTTACCTATTCTTGCACAAATTAATACTATTTTTACAACTATGACTTTTTAGTATTTTTAAATATTTGGGAAAGAAATTTGCCTCTTTTGTTTCTTTCTCAAGTTTGATTTAGCTGTTTGTAAATTGTTATGTATTCCTATACATTTGAGGAAGTTTGGAAACTTTCTGAAGAATATAGTGGGAACATCGATTGGTATTGCATTGAATTTAAAGATTAATTGGGGGATAACTGAGGTCTTTATGCTATTCTGTCAACTCACTGAAAAGCATGAAATGCTTCTCTATTGCAAGATGTCCAAGTATCTGCATTCTCCAGTTGTCTGATCACCTTTTGGTTCATTTCTAGATATTGAAAAACGTTGCTGCTATTATGAAAGGCAATCTTCTATTGCCTACTGCCTAGCACTAGGGTAGAGAAAGGCTACTGATTTTGGTAAGCTGTAGAAGTAGCATGGCATGTGGTTAAGGGCCTGATCTCAAGCTGGAGCTGTCTTGGCTCACTTCCTGCCATGGCACACACCAACCATTTAGTCTTGGGCAAGTCATTTAAGTTTTTTGTGTTCTAGGTCCCTTCATTGTTAAATAGGGATACTAAGAATACTTCAAAAGCTGATGGAAGGATTAAAGACCCATATACCTACACTATCCCGGCATTTAGTAGGTAATATAAGTAAGTAAACATATAAGCATTTGCTGTTATTAAATGTCTCTGATATTCTTGCTAAAGTATTTTCTTAGTTCTAAAGTTTGTTCACTCTGTTAGTTTTTCTTGGGAATGAGGTTTTTAATAATCTGTAAATAACTTGGTGATTATTTGGAATAGTCTTTTGTTTTTCTTGTGTCTGTCCTTTGTCTTCATGTTTTAGTGTCATTAAATATTAGCAATGGTAGTGGGCATCTTTTTCTTTTATTCCAATTGGGATAAGAATACACCTAAATTTTCTATATTAACATAAAGTTTTTATACATAGAATTTCACAATCAAATTTAAAATATTTAGTACAGGGGCCAGCAGGTGGCATGGTGGTTAAGGTGCTGAACTCTCACGTGGTTGACTGTAGTTTGAGTCCTGGACCTGGTGGCTTTGTAACTCACTTTTCCTTTTTCTCTCCTCTCTTTCTCTCTCCGGGGAGCACATGTGTCCTATAGCAAAATTTAAAAAATAATAATAATAATAAATAAAATTACGTATAAATAGCTTTTTACAACTATTTGGTATGTAACATTTATGCTTAAGAAGTTTTCTTTGGGGAACCAGCAGTTAGCGTAATGGCTATGTCGCTGGACTCCCACGTAGTCGACCGCGGTTCGCGTCCCGGACCCGGTGGCTTAAAACTCACGCCGGGCGCGTGTGCGTGCGTGCCCAAGATCCCGAGAGGAGAATGGAGGAGAAGGGATTGCGGCATGACCATCCCCTCTGGGGTGTGATTTCTCGCTTTCTGTCTCTATGTCTCTCTCTGTCTGGCGAGCGCATGTGCCCTATAGCGAAAACCTCTCCAAAAAAAAAAAGTTTTCTTCGATGTCTAGTTTATTAAGCATCCTTTGTAAAAATCCATAAGTAGATGCTGAATTTTATCAAATGTTGTATGGTTATACTATTTCTCTCAACCGGTCTATTACTGAGTGACCTTGATAGATTTTTCTAAAAGATCTCTGTTGTCTATCACTTAATTCACTGCTAGATTTGGTTGATTATTATGTTATATATAACACTTCATCCATGTTTATAAATAAAATGTATTCACTTTTCTTGTGTTATTCTTGTCTGGTTTAGAATCAGGATTGCATTCATCACTTTAAAAAGAGTAGAAAATTTGAGTTTGTCCTGTAGCCTAGTGGTTAAAGGAGACAAATAATACATAGCTAACTGTGGTTCAAATCCTGGTCTCTTGGCAACTTGCAAAACACCCCAGGTACCCATGTGTGTCACAAAACCTGTTGTCAAGGAGGAATGGGGAAGAGATTTTGGCATGCCCACACCCTACTTGGGAGTGCTTTCTCCCTGCTCCTCTCTTTTTTTGCTTTGCTCTCTAGTGAGCGCACGCACCCTTGGCAACTAAAAATAAATGGAATGTTTATATTGTTTTTCTCTTTTCTCAAATAGTTTACTCCTAGAAAGTCAGACCTATCCCATAAAGTCAACTGAGCCTATAGCTTTCTGGAAAGAGTAGATTTGGGGGACCAACAGGTGACATAATGGTTATGCAACTGGACTCCCATGTAGTCAACTATTGTTTGAGTCCCAGACCCAGCAACTTAAAACTCAGGCTGGGTGCATATGCGTGCATACCCAAAATCCCAAGAGGAGAATGGAGGAGAAGGAATTGCAGTGGGGCCGTCCCTCTTGTGGAGTGATTTGTTGTTTTCTATCTATCTCACTCTGTCTCTCTGGCAAGCATGCATGCTATAGCAAAAAATCTCTCAAAAAAAAAAAAAAAAGGAAGAAAGATTTGGAAAAAATTGTCATTTTGATTTTAGTATGCTCTATTGTTTGATTCAGATTTTCTATTCTTTTGCATGAGCTTTGTTGTTTCTACTCTCCTGCCTCACCTGAGATTTCTTTTATTAATTTCCTTTAGGTTGAAATTGGCAACCATGGCGTTGTTTATAATGCACTTGATTTGTTTTAAATCTGTTATCTGCAGTTATAGTTCCACTGTATTTTTTTTCTTTTTCGGTTGTATATTTAGTTAATTTATATCTTTCTCTTTCTCTCTTTTCTTTATTGATCTTACTGGAAGCATGCTTACTTTATTAATCTTTAAAAGAACTAGTTTAGAGTTTGTTGGTTGTTATTTTTCATTCCTCCTTTCATTGATTTCTAGTCTCATGCTTTCTAAAATCTTTCCTTATCTTCCTTTGTGTTACCCTTTGCTCTTTTTCTAACATTTTTTCACAAGAGCTTGGCTCATTTGTTTTTAATAACTCATGATTCCTGATGAGTTCTTCTAGAAGTCTGTATCACTAAACGCTCTTCTAGATGTTACTTAAGAACTTTGCTTTGGAGTTTTAGGTTGTTACTGAGTCTTATATATTTCATAATTCTTTTTCCAATATTCCTTTTCACTATTTTTAGTACTATTTATTTTATTTAGTTTTCACATGTATGGGATTTTAAACTCTCCTAATTATTAACTTCTATTTTACTGCATTATATTCAGATAACAGCTATACAATATAGATGGTTTGATTTCTATTGAGATTTCTGTTTATTGTCTATTATATTGTCTATATTTAAAAACATACACTGTGTGTGATAAGACAAAGTATATTCTCTGTTTATTAGGTGATGTATTCTTTTTATTATTATTTTTTTTGAGAGATTTTTGCTATAGGGCGCGTGTGCTCGCCAGACAGAGAGAGACAGAGAGACAGAAAGCAGGAAATCCCCCCCCAGGGGGGATGGCCACGCTGCAATTCCTTCTCCTCCATTCTCCTCTCGGGATCTTGGGCATGCACGCACACGTGCCCAGCGTGAGTTTAAGCCACCGGGTCCAGGACTCTAACCGCGGTGGGAGTCCAGCGACATAGATAGCCATTACGCTAACTGCTGGTCCCAAGGTGATGTATTCTGTATGGATAGAAAGCTTATCCTTAAAATTTTTAGAACCACTCATACTTATTTATTTTTGGGGGGGCTTGATTCATCAGTTTCTGAGAGGTGTATGTTAAAAATTTTCTATTATTGTTGATCTATCTTTTCTTCCTTGTAGTTCTACAGTTTTTGCTTCTTAGTTTCTGAGTTCGTGTAGTCAGGTCCCACATGATATGTTCATATTTATTTGATTTGTTTATGCTTTTACTTTAATAAATTTCCCTTATGAATTCTATGTATTGTGATGTTACACTATCACCCCGTCTATCTTTTTTTCATATTTGTCAGGTACATTTTTCTACCTTTTTATTTATTTGTTTTTTTATAATATATTTTATTTTGATTTCTCTTATACATTCAATCACTATCCATTACTTAGCTTGTTAAGTGAATTTTCCAACATGAATACTTTTCACACCAGTCCAGTTGGGGATACTATATACTTGATCATCAATAGGTAATAATCCATTTCTGTGTCGCATGAATGTCTAGCTGCTCTGCTTTTCTCCTTAATGTCTTTCTTCACATTCTCCTCCTTCTCCCACCCTCTACCCACACTGTGTGTGCTGTCTATCATTTTACTTTTAAACTTTCTGTATTTAACAGTGTCAGTTTGGGACTACTATAGTTAGTTATTTTAAACATAACTTTAAATTATTTAAGTTAATTTACATGTAACTGTAAAGTTTAACTTTTCAATTGAAAAATTAAAATAAATTAGATTCATTGCAATTACGTTCATATTAATAACCTTTTTCTGGCACCCTTTTCTTATCAATTGCATTGATGTTTTTATTTGCTTGTTTTTAATGGCTATGTCATGTATTCTTCTGCTGCTTTACAATACATGCACTGTCATTCCCCCCTTTAACATAAAGCACACATAAACCAGTTTCGATTAATATATGGCTTTTATATGTAAACGTTATTAATATGTGACCTTTGAAGTTATGTAGCCTCTTATAACTCATATGTAAAATGATTACGTATACATTCACATTCAAATTTGTCATGTGCTTAAAAATCTTGCCACAGTGAAACTATTCAAGAATGTCTTCCTTATTTCCTGTGTACACTGGTGGCATTGCGTATAAGAAGTATTACACATGTGATAGCTTTAGCAAGGGAACTGTTTTATTTTACATGAGCTTTTTAGGAATAGTGCAATTGAATAGTTTTCTCATGTAAATACCTGTTGTGTTGTGTTGGAATTTTCATCTATGGTGGGCATATTGACAATTTCTTCCTCCAAAAGAGGGAGACCAGTGTCTGTTACTGCACTTCCAGGTCTATTTTTATAGGGTTTCTGACTTCCCTGGTTAGTTTTCTTCTTGGCGTACACTTCTTGCTCTTTCTTGGGTACAGTATGAGTTGAAAGAACTTGCTTGCTAGCTGAAAAGGAGAAATAATAAGTTAAAATATGTGATACGCACAGTTATTACTGACTAAATTAGTTAGGTCCCCTTTTAAAATACTAAAAGAATACATATTTCTTCTGTTTTAATGAGATAAAAATCAGCATCACAGGCATCTTGGAATTATTATGATCTGAAAAAAATCTAGTGTAATAACACATGAACTGCATAAGGGAAAACATATTCTGAGCAACCACTGATTACTAAAAGAAGATAAAACAATCAAGGTATTTCTCATTCAATTTGGGCAACTCAAGCTATACTAAAGTGACACTCTGCTTCCTATCATACACTCTGTGTGTATGTTATCACACTTACAAAAAACTTTTACTTTAATTTTTAATTTCTACATTTATTCGTCTATATTTAACAGATAAATACCATTGGGAGTGACATGTCATGGTATGATAGCATAATGAGAATTAGATATATTCTCCCACCGCAGAAATGATAGAATTGGACAGAGTGTATAAAGCATCTGTTTTCAGCCATCCTTGAGAAAAAGGAAACATACAAGGTGATCTCTCCACTTCCCCCGACTGCTGCCTAAGAGCACTTGTCCAACTGTGGTCCATGGAAATAGTGTCCAACAAGGGATAGCAGTGCAGCCAGGTTCAGGAAGCTGAAGTTAGAATTTGGGACTTCAGAGACAACTAATATTGTGCATCAGGTATCTTAGAGGATTATCTGACCAACAAAGCACTTAGAGGTATACACTGACTGGAATTCGAGTTTTTAGCTGAACTATTTTATTATTTTTTTTAGAGATATTTTTGTTATAGGGCATGTGCACTCATCAAAGAGACAGAGAGAAAAAAAGTGAGAAATCAACCCACAGGAGAGATGGTCATACTGCAATCTCTTCTCCTCCAGTCTGCTCTCGGGATCTTGGGCATGCACAGATGGGTACCTGGTGTGAGTTTTAAGCTGGTAGGTCCAGGGCTTGAACTGCTATTGACTACATGGAAGTCCAGAGGTGTAACCATTACACTATCTGCTGGTCTCTAGCTAAATTCTAAAGTTCATTTGTGCAAACACTCAATAATGCCTGGCAGACATTAACTACTGGGAGAGTGTGAGCTCAATGGAGAGTCTGTTAGTTGCACAATGTTGAGAAGCATTGAAGTTTTGACCTACCAGAAGAGAGGATTTAATCAACACATAGTGTTCAATTGAGACCCAAGAAAGGCCAAGTTTTTTGAACTAGAACTACCTTAGCCCTGGAGGAATGGTCACTCTGCAGTTGACTTAGAAAAGTGCAAAGTTTTGGTAGGTTCAAACTAAGCTGTTAATAAAGTAACTGCCTACCAGAACAAAATTCTACACTTTCGACAACAACAAAAAACAGAATCTGGGTTCTTGGCAATATAGCATACACGATGTATAGCACACAACTAACTTGATAAATGAAGAAGCAGAGAACATGATCATAGCTTGAGAAAAACACAGCAGAAATATATGCACAGCTCACACAAATGCTGGATGCTCCAAAATGTGACCTTATTTGACAAAAGGGTATTCGAAGTTATAATCAACGTAATGATTCCACAATGACGTCAACCTGAATTAAGTGAGCCCCAAATTCAATAGTGAATATTCTTAAAAGAGACAGAAAAGGAGAAGACACGGACATAATAAAATAGAGGGCCATGTGAAATGGCAGAAATAAGCCACTATGCTGTCAAAGCCCAGGGACTCCAGCAGTCAGTCAAACCTGGAAGAGGACAGAAAGATCCTTAGAGCTTTAAAAGTGTCTGACATAAGTAATCCCTTGATTTTAGACTTCTGCCATCCAGAACAGGGAGAGAATAAAGGCTGAAAATGCTGTTTGCAGCAGTGCTAGGAAACTAACACAGATGTTAAATGGCATGAAATATGTATTTTTAGTCTTAATGGAACACTTGTAAAACTTAAATATACTTTTATAAAGTATGTATAAAATCTGGATATTGACAAAATTTTCAAAAACGCTGGTAGAAACTAAGGACTAAACTAATTGAGTCATGTACTGTATTCATGATCCAAAAACTCTTTTGTTAAGATATCAGTGCTTCCCAGTTTCAACGTCATCCAAATTGAAATTGAAAGCTCCAACTCACAAGTGCATTTCTCATTTTCTATGCCTTAAACATTATATTTGTGTCCTTATTATGTCATTACAGTGTGCTGTTTTCTCACTTCTCTGCTCCACTTTTCTTACATTGGAAAGGTATATTCCTCAGCTATGATGACACTTGGGCACTGTTTTCAGGTTTAATAAAACAGTATAAAATCAGCCTTAACTAGGGAGTATCTATTTTTTTTTTTGCAAATAAAAATCATTCTAAAGATTTTTTTAATACTTTAGAATCACATTTATTTTTAATTATTAAATTTCAAAGTTAAACAATGTTAACAGAATTTAAATTTTAAAACTCAATTAAATTATTTAAAATTAGGCCTAGCAGTTGGCGTAGCCATTGCTATGTCACTGGACTTCCATGTAGTCAACCGTGATTTGAGTCCTGGACCTGGTGGCTTAAACTCACACCAGGCGTGTGTGCATGCATGCCCAAGATCCTGAAAGGAGAATGGAGGAGAATGGATTGCGGCGTGGCCATCCCCCCTGGAAGGTGATTTCTCGCTTTCTATCCCTCTATCTCTCTCTGTCTTTCTGGCAAGCACACACGCCCTATAGGAAAATACTCTCAGGGGAAAAAAAAAAGGCAAAAAATGATTAAAAATTACTCTGAGGATCTGAGCAAAAGGATTCTTACTGCTTTGCATATTTTATTGTCCATGTAAACTTTATCTCACTATTCATAAAGAACTGAAGTTAGGGAACCAGCAGTTAGCATAATAGCTATGTCACTGGACTCCCACGTAGTCGACCATGGTTCGCGTCCTGGACCCAGTGGCTTAAAACTCACGCCGGGCGCGTGTGCGTGTGTGCCCAAGATCCCGAGAGGAGAATGGAGGAGAAGGGACTGCAGTGTGACCTCTGGGGGATGATTTCTCGCTTTCTGTCTCTAATGTCTCTCTCTGTCAGTCTGGCGAGAGCACGTGCCCTATAGCGAAAATCTCTCCAAAAAAAAGAACTGAAGTCACACTTATACCAGGACCATTTGTGATATAGTAAGTAGTAGTTAAAAGAATGACAGGACAAACAAGATACTTTTTCTCCAATAAGGCATCATATGAAATACAAGCCTTTACAGAGAGAGTATATTCAAAGATCCATGCAGATTTAAACATCCTCTTGGAATCTTTGGCACGCACGCACATGTACCCGGCATGAGTTTAAGCCACCGGGTCTGGGACTCGAGCCGCTGTCGTCTACATGGGAGTTCAGCGACACAGCCATTATGCTAACTGCTGGTCCCAGTTTCTGTTCATTTTAATCATAGGATATTTTTTAAAAATAATAAATTGGGGTCAACTGGTGGCATAGTGGTGAAAGCAGCTGAACTCTACATGGCCAACTGCGTAGTTCAAGTCCCAGAGCTGGCATGCTGAGTGCATGTGGATACATGCCCAAATCATGAGAGAAGAAGGGATTGCAACATGGTCAACCTCCAGGCTGGTGATTAAAATCATTCTAAAGATATTTTTAATACTTTAGAATCACATTTATTTTTAATTATTAAATTTCAAAGTTAAACAATGTTAACAGAATTTAAATTTTAAAACTCAATTAAATTATTTAAAATTAGGCCTAGCAGTTGGCGTAGCCATTGCTATGTCACTGGACTTCCATGTAGTCAACCGTGATTTGAGTCCTGGACCTGGTGGCTTAAACTCACACCAGGCGTGTGTGCATGCATGCCCAAGATCCTGAAAGGAGAATGGAGGAGAATGGATTGCGGCGTGGCCATCCCCCCTGGAAGGTGATTTCTCGCTTTCTATCCCTCTATCTCTCTCTGTCTTTCTGGCAAGCACACACGCCCTATAGGAAAATACTCTCAGGGGAAAAAAAAAAGGCAAAAAATGATTAAAAATTACTCTGAGGATCTGAGCAAAAGGATTCTTACTGCTTTGCATATTTTATTGTCCATGTAAACTTTATCTCACTATTCATAAAGAACTGAAGTTAGGGAACCAGCAGTTAGCATAATAGCTATGTCACTGGACTCCCACGTAGTCGACCATGGTTCGCGTCCTGGACCCGGTGGCTTAAAACTCACGCCGGGCGCGTGTGCGTGTGTGCCCAAGATCCCGAGAGGAGAATGGAGGAGAAGGGACTGCAGTGTGACCTCTGGGGGATGATTTCTCGCTTTCTGTCTCTAATGTCTCTCTCTGTCAGTCTGGCGAGAGCACGTGCCCTATAGCGAAAATCTCTCCAAAAAAAAGAACTGAAGTCACACTTATACCAGGACCATTTGTGATATAGTAAGTAGTAGTTAAAAGAATGACAGGACAAACAAGATACTTTTTCTCCAATAAGGCATCATATGAAATACAAGCCTTTACAGAGAGAGTATATTCAAAGATCCATGCAGATTTAAACATCCTCTTGGAATCTTTGGCACGCACGCACATGTACCCGGCATGAGTTTAAGCCACCGGGTCTGGGACTCGAGCCGCTGTCGACTACATGGGAGTTCAGCGACACAGCCATTATGCTAACTGCTGGTCCCAGTTTCTGTTCATTTTAATCATAGGATATTTTTTAAAAATAATAAATTGGGGTCAACTGGTGGCATAGTGGTGAAAGCAGCTGAACTCTACATGGCCAACTGCGTAGTTCAAGTCCCAGAGCTGGCATGCTGAGTGCATGTGGATACATGCCCAAATCATGAGAGAAGAAGGGATTGCAACATGGTCAACCTCCAGGCTGGTGATTTCTCACTTTCCCTCACTCTCTGTCTTTCTCTAGTGAGTGCATGCATCCTATAGCAATTTTTTTAAATTTAAAATTAATAATAAATTGAGAATATAAGAAATGTTAAAAATTTAAATAAAATTTCTACTTATTAAGAAAACTTATATAATAAGAAGGTACATTTTTTTCCTTGCAAGGTAAAAAGTGTTTTAAATACAATTACAACAAACCTACTAGTTTTCAGAGCCTAAATTGACACATACATGTAATGATGACCTTTAATATCTTACTATAACATCAAGTTTTACAAATTAAGGTGGTTATTTGCTAGTTTATCTTAAACACTTCTTAATGTAATGGAAGCATCAATATCTACTTATGAATCTAAATACCCAATTCCAAAAGACTCAATGGCCCGGCCTCTGTGGCGCTATTGGGAGCTTACCAAACTGCAGTGCTGGATGCCACATGGCGTGAGTTCAGATCCTGGCTTGGCTGACCTGAAACAGGCCTGATGCGTGTGCGTGTGCGTGTGCCCAAGATCCTGATGGGCTAGAGAAAAGGGATTGCGACATGACCCCACACTATCGGCTGTGCTCTTTTGTTTCTCTCTCACTGTCTCGTGCATCACCATACAGTGTTATAAATAGATTAAAATGTATAAACAAACAAAGATAAAGAAAAGGCACACATACACTGAGAGCTCAAAGCTTTTTCACTCCCTGAGAAGTAAAATGCTGGGATAATGGCTTGGCCTTTTCCAGTGGTGCTCACTATACTTTCTTCGTTTTCCAGAATCTGCAGCTTGATGAAGGCGTCTGGTTTGGATGTGCGCACATGTACTGTAATGAGATGTGCTACCGTAACTTTAACTGAGTACCTATAAAGAAAAAAAATGATCTGTATAAGCAAGAATATTGGTGTTTCTATCAAGTCCGTAAAGAGCGTAATTCCTATCATAATCCAAAAGTGAATGGGATCAGCAGTTAGCGTAATGGCTATGTCTCTGGACTCTCACGTAGTCGACCGCGGTTCGTGTCCCAGACCCGGTGGCTTAAAACTCACACCAGGTGCATGTGCGTGTGTGCCCAAGATCCCGAGAGGAGAATGGAGGAGAAGGGATTGCGACGTGGCCATCCCCCCTGGGGGGGTGATTTCTCACTTTCTCTCTATCTCTCTCTGTCTGTCTGGCAAGCGCACGTGCCCTATAGCGAAAACCTCTCAAAAAAAATGAATATACCTAATAAAGTCTATAAATATTCTGGCATTATTAGACTTATGATAGACTTTGGAAAAATATCCTAATTTGGTAAGTTAAAAAATGTAACTTGTATTATCCTCAAATCTCAACTAGAAAATGTGACTTCTTGTTTAGATATGATAAGCATGCATGTAAACAACTTGATAGATCAAAATGCCCTGAAACCTCTTAATAGATCTGCAAGCAATATGTGCCCTGTGTGATTTTTCAAGTCACTAGGTATGGGACTCAAAATGCTATTGGCCATGTAGGAGTCCAGTGCCTTAACTGCCATGCCTCCTTGCTGGCCCCAGTTTTGGAAATCTCTTGCCAAAATTGTGTGTATCTCCAGTCCCACCATTCTTTCCAGCCCCCTCCCCTGTTAATGCAATTAAAGAATTGGTCACTTTTGTTTGTCATTTTTTTTTTCTTACAAGGCTCAGTACTCTACCAACTTTCTAATTTCTCTAAAAATGTGCTTTTCTGAGTATCATCTCTCTCCTGTATCTTAAATCTCTCCCTCTTTATTCTGCCTCGTCATTAGTTTTTGTACACGTGCATTCTTCTCTTTTCTTTAACAGGTTAAAAAAAACAAAAACAAAAACAAAAAATTAACAACCAATCTTCAACCCATTTTACTGTCTAGACTTCATTACATTTCACTCTTCTCCAGTTTGTGTTCTAAGGAGAGCAACTTCCACCCTTATCCTGTCACCACCCACTCGCTCACTCTGTCATCAACCCAGATGCTGAAGTTGCTCTTAGCAAGGTTTCAAGCAGTGTGTCTCTACCCTTTAAAAACTTCAATTCTCATCTTCCTTGACCTCTCAGGAGAATTTATCAGAGTTGAATCAACACTCATTTCTTCTTCCTCTAAGAACTCTTCCCCTTCAAGCATAGAGCTCTTATACTTTCTCTCCTATTTCAGGGGCTTCTATTTACAGACTTCTCTCCAGTTGACATTCCCACAAATGTCAGAGAATTAGAATTTTCTCTTCTGGATCTGACTTTCTTTCTACAAACTTTTCTGGGCATGTCAGTGAACAGAGACAAAATAATAATTCTTGAAGATCTCCAGCCCAACTACTCTGCAGTGTCACCTGGCTATTTCACTGGCCTACTGTATTTAATTACTAAAAAGAATTGTCTTCCTCTTGGCCACTCTGCAAATGGGCATCTCTCCTCTACATCCTCTGAGACAATGATACCTTCCAAACATGTCATACTCCAGGGGACCCAATCAACCAACACTGTCCAAGTTGCCTCAATATATTAAAATCCTTTCTCTTTTCTTCAGATACACTGTCACACTGCCTGTCATGGACTGAATTGTGTCTGTGTCTCCTCCCCATCTTCTTCCCCCCACAGAAAAGATATGTTGAAGTCCTAATAATGCTTAGTGTCTCACAATGTCACTGTATTTGGAGATAAATTGTTTCAGAGGTTTTCAAATTAAAAAGTTAGGATGAACCCTAATCCAATGTGACTGGTGTCCTTGTACAAAGGGAATTTGGAAACAGAAGTACATAAGGGAAATACCATTTGAAGATGAAGGCAGTGACACATCTACAAGCTGAAAAATACCAAAGATTACCAGCAAACCATCAGAAGCGAGGAGAAAGTCATTTCTTAGTAGAAACCAACCCTGCCAATATCTTGATCTCAAACTTCTAGGTTCCAGAACTATGAGACAATACATTTTGGTTGTTTAAGCTGCCAGATGATAGACCTTTGTTACAGTGGTGCTAAAGTGCACTGTCCCTTTTCAGGTTGCCATGGTTCCACACCTGTGAGACTTCCTACCTGGTCTCCTACCTTCAGTAACGTTCCCCTTCTGTCCATTCAACCTGAGTGAGCTTTTTTCATATTTTATATATTTATGACTAAATATAGTTTCACGATAATGTGTGTGTCTCCAGTGATGTCTTAGAAGTTATATTTAAAGTGTTTTCTTGATTCATGTTTTAAAGACATTTTTTTTTTCAAAGATCTTTGCCATAGAGCACATGTGCTTATGAGAGAGACAGAGAGATAGAAAGCAAGAAATAATCCTTGAGGGGATGGCCATACCACAATCCCTTCCCTTCCATTCTTCTCTCAGGATTGTGGGCATGCATGTGCATGCACCGGGTGTGAGTTTAAGCTGCCAGGTCCAGGACTTTAACCGCAGTTAATCTAGCAACGTAACTTGTTATGCCACTGCTGGTCCCTGGAGACATAATTTTTTAACACCAGTATGATAAAGTCACTTTTCTTAAAGGTTTTCAAAGCACTCTACTGGCCCCATGGTAAAAATTTGTTATTTCTCTCTCATCTTTATTAGGACTTTTAGGAAAGGGTTCTGTCAATCTCTGCAGACTTAGGGCTTGTGACAGTATCCTGGAAACTCAATATGCAAACAAAACAGATGTCTTTAGTTCTCAGAAAAAAATCAGGGACCTTTAACTTCTGAGCTTTCACATACATACATACTCAGTTTCTTCCTTGTCTTCCCCTCCACTCAGCGGGAGAGTGTTAAGACCAGCTTCTGGGACAAATTTAGGCATTAGGTTAAATGCCATGTCTTAGTCTGTTAATGACCTGATATGTGATACTCTGGTTTTGTATCATAGGAATTAAGATATGTTATCAAGGGCCTAGCAAGTGGCACAGTGTTTGGGGCACTGAACTCCCACGTGGGGGACCTACATTTGAGTCCCAGGTCTGGTAGCTTGAAACTGACACCAGGCACATATGTGTGCATATCCAGAGTTCTGAGAGAAGAATGGAGGGGTGGAAATTGTGGTAGGGCCGTCCTACCTAGGGGAGGGGGATAATTTCTTGCTTGCTTTCTCTCTGTCTCTGTCTTTCTTGTGAGTACACTGCCCTATGGCAAAAAAAAAAAAAAAAAAAATCTGTGTGAAAAAAAAAAAAAAAAAAATCTAAAAAAAAAAATGTGTTATCACAATTGTTATTAGTATGTTTCCTTCCTCCTTTTCTTCTTTTCCTTGCTTTCTTTCTGAGTGTCAATAAGCAAATTTAATGCAAGAAGAGAAATTGAGAGTGACTCTTCCACCCCTTCTCTTGTCCTCAGTTTACTGTATTTTCTTGTAGAATCTTCTCTGATTTTTGTCTACATATAAAATATAAAAGTAAATATAAACTTAAAAAATATACTTGGTATTAAAATTAATCTATTATTCTGTAATTTAATTTTATTTGGATTATTTTTCATTAAGAAATTAATGCATGTTTTTAAAGAAAAAGATGTTTCCAAGAAAAATAATAATAGAGAAAAATCAGTCAGAAAATAATAAATTATTATTTGTGCATATTTTATATGAAAGATTTAGGACTTTTGTTTTGAAAAACAATTTACTTATATGTACATAGATTGCAAAACATATACCTTCATACATATAATAGTCTCAGAAAGTAATATTTGGTTTATTTATAATAAAATATGCTTACCTCAAGCTCTATTATTTAAAATAAAATATGCCTATTAAATCTCTATTAATACTAGAGAAAAGGTAGAATTGAGAAAGTTTTATAAGAAATAACTAAGTAAATTTTTCTATACTCATATGAGTGACTACTCTGAGAAAAGCTTTTCAAAAGTATCTTCATGATATTATCACAAAATATGATTAAATAAGAGGTCAGAAACAGATGCTGAGTGTGAAAGAAAATGAAAGATAAAAGATTGTGAATTATAAACTTTTGTGTGTAATAGAAAAACAAATCAAAACCATTTTACTTTTTGGTATTGCCTGAAATAGTTCATCATAGTGTGTATCTGTTAATGTATCTGTCATCCAAAGAGCATTTTGCCTACAAGAAAGGACGGACTGGCGTGCAAAATATTTGCAACCTAATTTGTTTCTGTAATTTAACATAATAAATAAAACCTATGCTTTTGATACATGTAAAATTGTAACCTTAACTTTTTTAGCCAATATTTTCTGAATGAACTGAATAAAGTTGGGGGGAAAAAGTCAGAAATGTAAAACTTTATTATAGGGTGATTTTACTAGTGTTAAACTGTGATTACAAAAACCAGAAAAGAGAAAAGACCAACTGTGGTGATGTGAGCAGTCGGTTACTATTCACCGAACCTAGGAGGTTTAGGTTTGGACCCTGGACTAACAGGTCAGGGGTGGTGGTGCATGCCTGTAGTCCTAACTACCTGGCCAGCTGGGGCATAAGGATAGCAACAGCAAGGGCTACCAAAAATGCCTCATCCTTCCTCTACTCTTTCTCTCCCAAAAACAAAACAAAGATAAGTAATCTAACAACTCATTTAATATCAACAAATATATGTATTATATATGTATATACTATATATATATATACACACACACACACACACACACACACACACACACACACACATACTGTGTGTGAATGCCAGAAAGTACATGCACTTGCCAGAGAGAGACAGCAAGCTAAGAGAGGGAGAGGAAGAAAGCAACCCCCTAATGGGGTGTGATCACACAAGACATCCCTTTTCTTCCATTTCTCCAACCTGTCAGGATTTAGGGCACACATGTACATGTACCCAGTGAATTTTTCAATCTGCTAGGGTCAGGAGTTGAACTACTCAGTCAGCCATGTGGGATCCAGTTCCTTTAACCACCAGGCCATGGAATGACCCAATACTAACAAATATTTAATGAAACCCAATCATGTATCTGGCACTGTGCTAGATGCTGTATTGAAAAGACATGGTTCTGGCCTCCAGTAAATGCTAATTCTCGTAGAGGCTATGTATTATTAACCAATTAAAATTTGATAAGCCATATTCCCAGAAGAATAAATGATTGTAGAAACATGACCAGAACTAGCTAATTATAGTTGGAGGTTTAAGTGCAAGTAGAACACTGAAAGTAGACCATTTTTTAAAGGAGGGACAGTGGAAAGGAATTACTAAACAAGAGGAAAGGTGGGAGCCAAATAACATTGTGTGGCGTATACACCATGAGTGGTCTTTAGTTCCATCAGGAAAAGGAACTGCGTTTGGGATGCCTGGGCAAGAGTGCTGAATATCATGCTTTGTGGCTTGGATTTTATTCTGTAGTCGAGGGAAAGTTATGAAAGGTTTTAAAATAGTAAAATCACATATCTGAATGTGTGTATGTTAGAAAGTTAACTGCTCTGGTAGTGAAGGATGGGAATGTACATAAATGACAGTGAGAAACAGAGACATGATAGAGGGGATACAGAGGGAATGGAATGGAGTCACGGGTTCCAGAAATACAGTTTCATAGACCAAAGATAATGAGGTCTGAAGCAGTACAGGGATAAGGGGAACAGAGAGGGCAGGCATATTAGAATTAGAATCAATAGGGCACACATAGGACGGCACTGTTGCATGGCCTATGGGAGACTGAATTTTGGTTCTGAGCCCAACGTAAGAGACTAGGCATTGGTGTGTGCCATCACCCTGGCCAGTGAGGAGGCTGGGAAAGGAGGATCACAAATAGTGAGACTGTTAGAGAATCTTGCTTCTCCTCCCTCCCACACTCTCTTTTTCCCTCCCTCAATAAAAAAGGAAAAATAGAATCAACAGAATTGATTAATGAAAGAAAGTGGGATCCAAATTAGGTTATTCAAGGAGAGTATTAAGATGAACATAGGAAGATGAGATGGCAAATAAAGAGAACCTCCTAGAAGAAAAGAAAGTTGAGATGGCAAATAAAGAGAACCTCCTAGAAGAGGCTAGTCAGGAACTGAGTCAAACCGGTAAAAAATAACCAAGGAAGATGGGTCATGCAGAATGTTTAATGAAAGTCAAATAGGATGAAGACAAAGAAGATATTGGGTTGCCGGAAAAGTCCTGATTTATTTTTTCTGTTTTTCTATGCAAAAACGAGTCATGACTTTTCTGACAACCTGATATTATCACCATTACACACAACCATATAGGTTTGATGTTATATAATACCATATAACCATGCCATGGTAAATTGTTTCCAAAAGAGAAGAGAAATTAAAATTTGAAACTAAGGATTTTGCTATAAAATTTATTTTTATCCTAAAATATTATTATTTTAGAAATAGTAGACATAATTATACCTGAATAAAATTTTCTTGTCATTGGGTATGTAGTAATCTCTGATCTCCTTTATGGCAAAGGTGTTGCACGGAGCCTCTCGAGACAGGCAGGGGAGTGGAGTGCAAGAGCCAACGAGGCGCAGTTTCCATCGGGAAGCTGTTACATATGTGTCAGCAGAAAACGCTTCAGCCACAAATGTGTATCCCTTCTGTAGGAAACAGTGATTACACAGGAATGAATCACATTGTGACCAGACTCTCAGGTGTTCAATTTGTGATATCAGAGTGCTAACATGCTTTATCTTGATACACCTATTGACCTCAGGTTTGCTTAGTAAAGACCGAATTATTAACATGCAATTCCTTTTAGAAAATGTCATCGTACGTGTTTTCAGGAAAATGATTAACTCTAACACTTTCGTATGTTCTCTTAACTACACAATAAAGTCCCTAACTATAATAGATGATTGCTGTGCCTTCTTTTTTTAAAAATTTTTTTTAAAATAATTATTTATTTAATTTTATTTATTCATCCATTTATTTTAATTTGACCAGACAGAGAGAGAGAAAGCAGAAGTGAGAAAGCAAGCCACCAGGTCCAGGACTTGAACCGTGGTCGGCCATGTGGGAGTGTCTAGCGCCTTAACCACCACACCATCCACTGGTCCTGATTACTGTGCCTTCTTCTAACGTCTCTTTGGGCAAATTTTTAATCATTGTATCATCCTGGAGTATCCCAATAGCTTCTTATTTGATTCCCTGTCTCTCAAATTCATCTTTCTAAAATGATGAGGTGAGAAAAGCAGAACAGGTTATAACAAAGTTTTCCCCTTGAAATGTCAGATAAATATGAATTCATTGCTGATCTGAGTCCACAGAAACCAGGTGTATACCCAGAGAGGCATTTTTTTAGGTTGCAAAAGAAGAATGAAAAGTATATCATTTTTTTAAAAAAGAATTATTTTATTGAACTTTATTTGTTTTAATTTGATCAGAGAGGGACAGAGTGAGAGAGAGAGAAAGCAGCCAGGTCTGGGACTCGAAACATGGTCAGCCATATGGGAGTCCAGTGCTCCTAACCACGATGCCACCTACTGGCCCCTGGAAAGTATATCTTAATATATACAAAATAATGCTTAGGGTCACAGGAAAAAATGAACATCAGGAGTCAATCATAGCCATAAGAGAAAATGAAGAGGTTCAAAGCCATATAGCTAAAGAACGGAAGATAAGAGCTAATACTGATCTCTTGGTTTCCAGCTCAGGTATACTCTCATTTGGATTGGATTCCTTTTTAGGGGAAAATGACTGAAAAAATAAACATGAATAAGTGAATAAACAGAGAAACAACATGGGTTGAGTAAAGATCAGAAAACAGAAACTACCATTCAGC